TCTTCATTTCTGAGTTCTGAATTCTGACTCATCATTTTGTTTCTAAGATTTTTCTAGAAAGTGCATGAGTAGTATATTTCCCAAGTTCATTCATATTTGAAAGTGTCACACTAGACAGCTGTCATTTTCCTGAAGGAAACTTGGCTTGTGACACAATTGTTGGGTTAACTCTTAGACATTTCTTAGACATTTCTCCACTATCTTCTGGCACTGGGTGATGCTCTAATAAAGCCAAAGACCAGCTTGCCTTTTTATTCTTTCATGTGGCTTGCCTGTTCACAGAACCATAGGATACCTTCTTCCATCCTCTTACCCAATTAACAACTGAGTATGTACTATATACTGGGTAGTGCTTTTAGGGTTGAGCATTGTTGGAAATGGCTTTCTGTGAATCATTCAATACCAAATTTTGTTGGGACACCATGTATCCATTTGAGCTTCAGATTTTTAAGTCTGTATTCTAGAAAGTTGTGTTTTGTCTTAATTTTTGTCCATTTGTTCTTCATTCTCAAAGGTAATTGTGAATATTAAATTAATTAATACACATAAATCTCCTCATGTGGGCATGTAATCGATAAGAAGAGCTCTTCTTTCTTTTTTAAAAAAGAGAATGGTTGCTTATCTATAATTTCTGTGAGATAATGGGAAACTCTCTGAACACTTTCCATGGTTGGGGAAGATACTACCTTTTGTGATGTGTTTTCTTCAGCCTCTCATTATGTCCTTTACATATCTGAGTTCTTGTCCAAGGTTGGTTCTTATCCTAATATAATCTGTCTTTATTTGTTGAAGCCAAACAGGATCCACCAAACTAAGGTACTCAGTACTTTGTTTTCTTGAACATCCAATCACCAGCTCTATTCTTTTGGTTGACTTGGGACTGTGTGTCCCTCCGTGTGTGTGGAACAGACTGACGTGACTCACAGAAAAGCCCCTTTACATGACAGGCCCCTTCAGTTCTAATCCAAACCTCTTCCCTCAAACACACACCAACCCCGCAGCTCACAGACACTGAGGAGAGCATGTCACCTCTGCCCCAGTAACTTCATGATCTCTATCTTGAATGGCATCCCTAGGGGGGTGTTCTCTCTCTTCCTGCGGCCTGCCCACATCCTTACAAGAGAAACCTGGTTTTTGCTCAAGATCTGAGGAGTCATCTTTACCCTCAAATTACCCCCTGTGTCCATCTAGATTTCATAGAATGTGGATGATCAGCTAGATTTCTTGGTTGCAATGTTCTAAGTATAAAAATCTAATTAAGATTTGCCACACACTGTCCTTGTCCAAAAAATGAAACACAAAACAAACAGAGCACTCTATAATGTGGATGTGGTGGCTTCAGGAACAGCTGGATCTAGGAATTTAAATTTATCATCCTTGTGCTTGATCGCTATCTCCATTCTTTGGTTCTGCTTGTTTACATTCCATTTCCCTCTCAGAGTCTCTCTCCAAAAGGCAGTGAAAAATGACAGTGTTGGCTTCAAGGCCATATCGTCTTTACAAGTTTGTGAATCTGGAGAAAGACCACTTTCCTCTAAGGCCTCTGAGTGATTTATGTGTATTGATTCATTTAATATTCACAATAACCGCTGGAGAACAGAAGAGATCAGAGAGGAATAAAAGCCCAGGGAGAAATATAGTGGGTCTGGCTTGGATTGTGTGCCCATCTCTGAACCAACTGCCATAGCTGGGAGAAGCTGCAGCACTCTGATAGCCAGCCCTGGGTGACACAGCTACCCCTGGGAAGGGAGTTAGGGAAGGCCGTGTGCGTCCTCATCCAAACGCGGACAGAGCAGGATTTACTGTATAATGTCAGGGGGCTTGCTCCCAGAGGGAAGCTTGCCAGGGCAGACAAAAATTTCAAGCCTGTACTACATTGTAAAGTTTGCTCCCTGTTTTATACCTTTTTTTTTTTCTTTTTTGCAGACATTTATTTCTCTATTTTTCATTCTTTGCTACTTTCATTGGGTTTCTGCAGAATGTTTTTGCTTTACCATATTTAACCTGAAGCCCACTTTATTTTTTATTCCAACAATACTAAGGGCATTTGGTAGTTTTAAAGAAGACTTTCAAGTCCTAGCAATCATTCCTCAATCTACAGTGAGGGCTAGGAGGGGATGGGAGTGGAGGAGCAATTATTTTCATTTAATAGACTAAAAATTGAGCCCCTAGAAGTGTTAGGAAACTGACATTAAACCGTTCAGCTATATCAAGAGGTTGAGAGGGAACCAAACCTAACTTCAGAGATCCTGGCTCCTAGAGAAGACTTCCACACTCTCCACAACAACTGATTGCCTTTGAGCTCTCCCAATGGGTCACATTTCCAAATCATGACAGTTTGAACAGCATTTATACAGAAAGTCTGAAGAGGCACTTAAGCAGATATATAAAGGAGCTCATCAGATCAGACCACAGAATGGACGGAGAAATGGATGGACGGAGAAATGGATGGACGGAGAAATGGATGGACGGAGGCTGGAGATGTGCACACATACTTTTTCTTAATGGCAGCTTTATTATTTGTAATTCATATGGAAATACAAAGTAAGAAGTAATGGAGTATTGCTGTGGAGCAGGCCTTCCATGCCTTAAATGAATCCCTAAATGGATACAAGGAAATTGTCATTAACTGGTGCACAGATTGAGGATGACAGTTCCATAAGTGTTTGAGTGTCTTCTCTTTTGGAAAGTTACATCACCTCCAATATCTTGTTTCCAGCAATACCTGGCTTTGGCAAATCCATTTTTCATCATAATGAGCATGAAGTCAAAATCCAGGCCATCCCGTGTCTAAATTATCCATATTGTAAATTAAGCGTGTACAGATCAGTGTAGTTTCACTGAAATAAACTGTTCCGCCCTCTCCTGAGTGAGAAAACCACTCAACACAAAGGACAAACAAGCCCAGAAGGACCCCATGCTGGGAGCAAGCATGTCCTCACTTGCTCTGTCCCCTCTGCACCATCTAGCTGTTCACGGTCCTTTTAACTCACTGTAATCTCCATTCTCTTCCCTCCTTTCTGCCAGCCCAGCTCACTGAGACGACTCTTCATTTCCCACTTTATGGTCTCAAGATGAAAAAATGTTAATTGAGGGTAGGGTTTGCACATCAAAACTGGGAATACTCCGTTGCATAGCGAAGATCATTTCTTGGAATTATTCACTTAAATGTTTACAAGAAACAATTATCAAGTGTCCCAGACTGATTCATAAATGTAATTAATGAGAGAATTGCTAAGAGTTTCCATTTTCTGGTTTGTTTTAATCCTACTGTATAAATTTTTTTTTGGTTGGCACTACTTCAACAAAATTCCACCCCAGGATGAAAGGAGGTAAAGATTCATAGAGTAGAAATGTTATTGGAAGTTGAACTTGCCAGGGTGTACTGCAAAGCCAGACACACTCATTATCCGACACAAGGGCTGTCCTCACAAAACAAAAAAAAAAAAGAAAAACAATTAGCGTTGCTGCCAACGCCTCATAATTTTGGACAGTCAGGAAGAAGTGCTTCCAGTTCCTAATGGATTTGTCCTTTGCTGTTTGTGGGATAAAATATGTAACTGAAAATGCCCTTGCTGTCCCAGACTGAGGAAGACATAATGAACTCTGGCTTGCCAGATTGTTCTGCAACATCTGAAGGTTTGCAAAAATAAATAAACAAATCAGACGGCTCTTGTCTGGTTTTTCTCGTCAGCTTTCATTACTGTAAGGATGGATGCAGCCAGATAAACGTTTCCTTTTTACTTTAGTACTGAAAGGAACACAAGTTCTCCCACTGCCTTTTATGTTGAAGCGCTGAGGTCCACAGCCTATTCTTATTCACCAACTGGAAAAGATTGGTCTGCAATGGCCAGTTGGATGTTTTGTGCTCCAACTCCCAGAGTCCCAATTTGAAGTTGTTCTCTTCCACTTAAGGAGACATTTCATTTTCCCCTTAATTTAAAAAAATGTTCTGAATGCAGAGCGACATCACGAGGACTACTAGGTTGCCTAATATAAATTCCGTGTGTGTGACATTCTTTAGGCTGTGTTAGCAGACAAGGTCAGCTCAGCTCAACTAACAAGCTGACAAGCAGACACTTTGGGGAACAGTTTTTAGTCGTACAAGTGTGTGAGCCAAAGTCAGACCCAAAATCTAAAGTGAGAGCAACATACGCTTGGTCTTAAAATGGCCCGTGGAATTTTATCTTGTTAAGCAAATTTGCACTGGGCAATTGTCCATGATGACCCAATGGAAAGTCCTAGAAGAAAATATCTTTAACTGAGTGACCCTGCCCAGCTCAAGACCTTCTGCCTATCTTAGCATCACTCTGCCTGGGACTGGGAAACAGCCTGCTCTCCCTCTTCAGCCTCCAATAATTCAGCCTTTTTTAGTAACACACCAGGGTAAAAATACACGGTCTATACAGAGAACACCAGTTTCTCCATAAGTCCTAAATATGATAGGGAAAGCACTTCTCATGGATGCTCTATCTAGGAATGTGGTATGAAATGAAGTAATTTCTAATCATTCGATTATGAGAGGCTAACAGAGGGATAGCACATCACAGGACTCTCCTGCTTTAACCACTAAATATTTAGTCCAAGTTTCTACTGGAGAATAAAATAAGTGTTCATGTCTGTGGTGTTAAAAACCGCAGACTAATCCAAAGGGAAGTAACGGGGCATTCTAGGCCAGTCAAAAATCCCAGATCATTCACAAAGAGAATGCCAGCTGTCACTCAGGGGGCTGGCTGGAACCGTCCAACCAAACCTTGTTCTGAAAACCCATGGAAGAAGAGTCGTGGCACCGATGAATAAAAGGGTTCCTAAGGATTAAAAAGGGAATGCTCTGCAACCAGTTCCATTCAGGTTTGAGAAGAAATCTCTCCTGCGCACACATTAACTTACAATGTGTTCATATAAAAGGAAAAGATTAAATTAATCATCTTTATAAGATAGAGAACAAATTGGTATTTAGTTATCTTGATCTGAAAATTAAATTAAAAGAGAATACTGACCCTCCACTTCCGAGACGAGATGGTAAGGATGTTGTTCCTTTGAACCCTTCTTGCTGTTTGATTTCTCTGAAGCCTCCATCATAAGTTAGTTGAAAAGGGTGGCTCTTCAAATGGCCAATGGTGTTTGAGTCTCTTAAATAAGTCCCATTTATTTCCACCATAGAGTTCCCCATCATGACCATTTCTTTGGATACCACGGTCTTCTTTGCTGCAATAACCAAGGAAACATTTTGTTAAGTATTCCCTTTTCCAGGAGTCACTACCTTTCAACATTGGGGCTTTTTGGTCGTCATTTGTTTGTTTGTTTTTTGGTACCAGGGATTAAACTCAGGGGCACTCAACAACTGAGTCACATCTCCAGCCCTATTTTTGTATTTTATTTAGAGACTGGGTCTCACTGAGTTGCTTGGCACCTTGCCATGGCTGAGGCTAACTTTGATCCTCCTGCCTCAGCATCGAAAGCTGCTGGGATTACCGTGTGCCACGGCACCTGGCTCAACATTGTTTTTCAGTTGAAGAATTTATAGAATTTTAAAGTTATACATTACTTGACCAAATCTAGACTTTTATGGTCAACGCCTTTCTGAACATACATAAGACTTCACCATGATTTTAGGTTTGACATCAATTCTGCAGGCAAAAATGAATAGGATGCTAACTCTGTTGGCTTAAGGTCTACCTGAAGGTAAACACTAGAGTTTAGATTTATGAACTACCTAATCCATTGATGTACTTCCATATGCCATAAAAATAACTCTTCTTCCTGAATTTGGCTTGTATTTTTTCATTTACAAAATACTTATTGAGTGCTTCCCTGCTATCAAGCACTGTTTTAGATACTTGGGTGCATCAGTGACAAAAACGAGATCCCTGACCTCACAAGGCTTACATCCTAGTAGGTATAAACAGACAATAAGCCATACACCACAATAAGATAAGTACACACACCTGCCCCCCCCCCAAAAAAAAAGAAGCTAAAGTGGAAAAGTGAAGAAAGATAAAGGGAAGTGGGGGTGTGGTGGAAGCAGAGAGCACTTTTGTTAGAGGGTCTGGTAGAGTGGGGACGGCAAGACCCTCAGGGCCATCAGAGGAGGAGGCACAGTGTTTCCACAGGGGACCAGCCAGTGTGGAGGCCTGAGAGCAGGATCCTGTCTGGGAATGGAGTGTGAGGGCAGAGGAGGAGGGAGCCAGCAGAGGGTGAGGCCTGGGCAGGGCCCAGGAATGGAGGCCCAGCAGGGTGCTGTCATGCCACAGAAAGGGGAGGCAGCCACACCTCCACAGGGCTTCAGAAAGGAATGAGCAGTGCAAGAAGGCATCCTGACTCTGAAGCGAAACACATATTGTGTTTTTGGATGCAGGTGCTTAGACTTCAGACACACTTCCTATCAGCAAACTGTCCCTAGGGATTGCTTATTGTCTATGCTGCTACTAGACTTGAGCCTGTGAGAAAACATTTGTCAAAGAGGAAGAAAAGCAAGTCTCCCACAGCACAGAGGGAGGCGTCGGTGAAATGAGCTTTGCATAGAAAAAAAAATAGTGTTTAACAAGTTTTTCCAAAGTAACTCAAGGTTCTTCTTCTGCACCTAATTAGTAACCAGTAAACCAATAAAAATTAATCATAACAAAACCACCTATTCTACCACTCTGACCAAGCTCCCTGATTTCAAAACTCAGAATTTGAAAAGCTTGAAAGGAACTTGAGAAATTGGCCATTCTAACCTTTGTTTTTCAGATGAGAAAACTGAAAACCCAAAGGGTTAAATGAACTTTAAGGGCACCAAGAAGGCCAGAAGGGGTGGAGGTGGGCTGAGCACAGGCTATTGGATTCCACCAGACCAGGGTTCAAGTGAAGGCACCCAAGAACCATCTCTGCCATGGGGAGGGGGCTGCTCTCTCACCTCTTCAGTGGATGCCGTATCTTGGGGATGTGGTAAGAATTCAATGATGTGACTTATATAATGCTAGCAAAACTCAAAACTTAGGACTTATTGTCATCGTTATTCTTCGAACCTAAGCATCCTGACTTCTAGTCCAAGGCTCTCTTCTTGGCACCATGCCACTTTAAATAACTTTACTAGTAAATTATAAAGCACACATCCTGTTTTAGATTGCAAGGGATTTTCAGCCTATTGTTATATTTTAGCATTTCTTTCCTGCATCCATTCACTCCATAAATGTTTATTAAAACTACTATATGCTAGGGTTCCATGCACAAGTGAGCCTGTGGTAACACAGAAGTCCTAGGCATCACAGAGTTTCTAGAAGCGGGGAGGTATCCAACTGTACTTACAAGTAGAGAAGCTGCACCCTCTATCTTCACAGTCTATCAGGGTGAGCTTGTCAGTTGTTACTACAATGTGTAGTGGAGAGCTGCCCTGGGGCTCACACTGACTCCTGATGGAGGTCCACCATCAAACTGAGCATTGTAGGACACTCAGTGTCTCCCTGGCAAATATTGTATCATATTGTTCTAATTCTCTAACAGGCCATGGGCAAGCTTAAACAAACAAACAAAAAGTCACCTGCAGCATCACCATGAAGGCAAAGCTCCCTTTACAGACGTTTCTTGCATACCTGCTACACACCACAACCTGTTAGGTTCTTGGGCTACAAATGGAGAAAACTGCTTTTCTTATTGGAGTTGCTCAATATAGTAGAGGAGACAGAGAGGCGGATCTGTAAGGAGATCAGTGTAGTACAGTGTGTGGCACCAGCCAGGTAATGAGGAGGCACAGAGAATGGAGAGGATTTGAGGGGTGGGAAATTGGTCAGGGCAAAATTCTAGAGGTGGTGAAGTATCTGGAAGGATGAGGAGGAGGCAAACAGAAGAAAAAGAAGCAAAACACTGGAGTCAAAGGCAGTTTCATGTGTGTACAACCCGTACAAGCAGGGAGTAGGGGCACCCTGGCTTAATGCTCTGCTGCTGCCATCTTGAAATTCTTTATTTTATAAAAAAAAAGAGTCTCCCATTTTCATTTTGCACTGAGCCAAAAAAATTAAACAGTGGGTCCTGCCCAAGGCTTGAAATAGCAGGCCAGATGTGGGAAATGTAAGGGGCGGGGGGTGTCTGTGTTTCTGGTGCACTGACTTCTAAAGGGCACAAGGAGAAGAGAGAGAAGGGCCTAGAACATTAGGTTGGGGCCAGATCACAACAGAGCTGTGCATGCAAAGGAGCTGGGACTTTATCTGCTAGACCAAATTACAATTCCACCAAACGTGGTCTGCCTCTGGTTCTTGTATAACCTATGAACCAAGAATGGTCTTTATAATTTTGAATGGCTAAGTGGTGGGGAGGATCAAAGGAAGAATACTTTATGATAAGTGAAAATTATATGAAGTTCAAATTTCAGTGGTTATAAATCAGGCCATGGCTGCTTCCACACTCTAATGGCAGAACTGAATAGGTTGTACAGAGACCACATGGACAACAGGGTTGAAGATATTTACTATCCAGTCCTTGACAGAAAAAGTTTGCTCACTTCTGTGGAAGGCTGGCATTTCCCAAACTGTGTTCCCAAGAGAGAGATTTCAAAGTCAGGCAGGTTTGGGTTGAATTAAAATCAAACAGATGTCTTTACTGGATGGCTTTTCCCAGTCCATCCAACAGGCAAGGATTAGGTAGCACTTCCCTGACTTACTTGAATACTAGGCTCCTTTTCCAAGGAAAAGCTATAAACATTTTTCTAGAAATGTTCCCTGGAATTCCTGGAACTCAGTTTGGCCAATCCTCCTGGAGGCACAGGGGGGCTCTGAATAGATTTCAGCCTGGGGATGATGCAATCGGATTCCTTTGCTTCCTGACCTCTGTGCTTTATGGAAGACATAGAATGCCATCATTTTCCGTGGGTCATGGGGATAAAAGGATAAGGCTACTGCTGCTCACAGTCACATCCTGCTGGGAGCTTGGCTTCCCCAGGCTCTGCTGGCAGTTCCAAAGGCTAAGGGTCATTGTGTCCACCCTCCTGCATCCTAACTGCAGAACCCTGGTGGGCTGAGGGCAAATAAGGGGGAAAGACAGGGAGGAGGCAAGAGGTGATGAAGTTGACAGGGCAGTGGCAGAAAAGGAGCACAGACTGAGCAGTCTTTAGGAAGTCATGAAGCTTCATGAAGGAAAGAGGGACAGGCGCTGGTAAGAAGGTGGTGTCTACACGAAGTCTCTGGTCTGAGTAACTGGGGAGGCATTAGCCACAGCATCAGGTCCTGCCTAAAACCCTCTCTGAACACAAAGCAATTAAACTACTGGCCCTATGGGGATGCCTACCTACACCTCGTCCCCTTTCATTTTCTTAAATTAGGAACTCCAAACCTGCCACCACACCCCAGCCCTGACTGCCAGATTGTGTCAGCTACAAATGACTTCACACCAGGGAGAGGCCTCACGCTCTATCTCCAGGCACAGTTGTCTCTCTGGCCTGTTACCCAACAAAGCCTAACTTTTCTAAAAAACAGACAGCCTCCAAAATAAAACTTAGGCAGCTCTGATACAAATGACAGGCACTCTGAGACAGGAGAGCCCAAGTATCTTTTTTTTTTTTTTTTAATTGATGTGTGCTTTTAAAATGACCGTGACTTTTTACTGCCATTATTTCCTGAGTGCTGACACAGGCTGCAGGGATGCAATCCACTGCCAACAGGGTGGATAAAAGAACTGTAACAAAGACTGGCTTCAGAGTATCTGGGAGGTGCGGCGTCCTGCTGGGAAATGAAGGTGCTGTGGTCACAAAAACAAGGGCAGGGCCCTGAGGATGAGGACGGTGCACCAGGCACGCTTTGCATCCCGAAGTCATCTTCACATCAAGATGGACAGGTCAGCAAGCAGCAGGGGTTTCAAAAGTGAGCAACTGGGAGTTCAATGCATCATAGCAATATTTACGCTCAGAACCAAAAAAACATTTTGCTCACCAGAAGTGATCGGGGGCTCCAGAGCTTGTCCCCTCTCGTCTTGGCAAGCACTACCAGTTCTCTCTGATCTAAATGGTCTGGATGGGACTCCAGTGCTAGAACATTGGGAAATCTCCCCAGGTGACTACAGCTACAGATGAGAAGCACTACTGAACTAGAAGCAGAAATTGTGTTGTCTCTGCCTCACTCAAACCCTGGCTTTTCACTGGAATAAAGAATAAAGCCCAGTCCGTGGTCTATGTCCCAAGGCCTTATGTAGCCCTCTAGTCCCAGTTCCTTTCACCTTTTCTTATCTAGCTGCCTCCTGCCATGCTAGCCATTGCAACCTCCACCAGAGATGGTGCCCACCAGGGCCTTGGTACTTGGTTCAACCTGGGCACTTTAACCACAGATGTTTCCATGGCTGCTTCCTCCTATCATTCACAGGTCAACTCAGATGTCACCTCCTCTAACAGACCTTACAGAGTCCCCTCAGCAACAGCAGACTATCACCCCTGCCACAGTGCTCCCTATGTAGTCATCTCCTTTATCTTCTTCAACTGTCCTATTTGTTCTCTGGTTACCATCCCTCTCCCCTCCCTAGACGGAAGGCTTCCTGGCGGTGGGACTCTTAGGGCCTAGGATGGTACTGGCACTTAGTAGAGGCCTGATGGTTTGCTTGGTCATAGCGCCATGGTGTGATGCGCGCGCCTGCACCTCCCTTTGTTTTTCCTTGCTCCTTGATTCTACCTCTTCCTCTATGTCAGGGATCACACAGGCAAATAAGTGAAGCAGACTGGGGCACATGTGAACTGCAGGCCATCTTCTAGGCGACAGGATGGGCACTACTCAGCTCCAATCATTCTCCATTGGAATGGGGACCCAGTTTCTCCAGATCTTGATTTTTCATAAGAGGTCATGAATCTGGATTCTTCTATGAGAGTCTTCTACTTTTTATATGTTGGCAACTAAAAAAGAGAAAATGCTTATATGTCTAATAAGCACGAAGCTCAGGTGGAGGATTGTGCCCACCAGGTCCATCTTCAGACTGTCTGTGACTGTACCTGCCGCTCTTCAGCAATGCTTGATGATGCAGGGAGGCCTGGTTCTGCCAGCTCCTGGTAGTTTTCCACAGTGAGAGCCAGTTTCTAATATGACCCTGAGCACACACTCACCACTAAAGAGAAGCCTCCTGAAGCAATACCTCCCTACTGTAGAGTGCTGCCTATTATTTCTATTCTACTTCCTTTTTAAAAGTGTGATCTACCACACTGATTATTGTCCTACTAATGGATTCCTCCCTGTACTTTGGAAAACCCTCAGTGTGCCCTGGAGTGGGGGTTATTTCCTGAGAATGTGAGGTCCTTGCCTCTTTGCTCCAGGTCTAGTTACCTGCCAGCACTTCTGTGACAGGAACAAGAGTCTCATTCAAGACTTTGCTTATATTCACAGGGAATCAGAATGATATTAAAACCTAAGCTTAGTACTCTTTGTAAAATTCTTAAATTTCTCATTAATTTTGAATGAAATTAACAACTTTTTGAACGCTAACTTTAAAATCATTTCTTTTCACCACTGTGAACCATCCATTTGGAAACCCTTATCCTAACATTCTTTTCCTACCAAGTGATATTTTTTAAGAACTGTGATATTTTTAGAAATTCTTTAAAAACATCTAGAAAAATGTATGTTTCTTAGCCAGCTTTTGCCCAGTATTCTCAGTTTAGATAAAAATCACCTGGGGGGTCAGGAAAAATTATATAAAAATATTTTTTTGGTGCACACTTTCAAGAAGCATGCCTGTCCCAGGGTTTAAAGAGGTTATATAGCCTTACACTCGGCGGGAAAGGATCTGTCCGGCAGAAGAGCCCCCTGGGAGGCTGCCCTGAATAAGCGCGCCCGGGCACTGCTTATTCTTCTAATCTTCACAGGGTCCACGGGGGGTTTAGGAAAGGAAAAGCAAGGATCCTCCTCTGCGCTGGGAGATGCCGGAGCTTTCGGTTTCTGGAAAGAGATTTTTTAAATGATTGGTATGAGTTTCTGTGTCTCAAATAAGGCTCACTACCCTGGAGCTGGCCCCAACCCTTCCAGAAGAAAACCAGGGCTTTCTGCTTGGCTTCATTCATCTTGGCCCCCTAATTCTACTGTCTCATTGGCCCACCTTACTCAACATGAGATATGTGTGTGTGTGTGTGTGTGTACATACTAATTAAAATGTGTTAAATATATAACATGATATATTTACATGTATATGTGGGTGTGGGTGTGTGTGTGTGTGTGTGTGTGTGTGTGTGTGTGTGTGTGTGTATATATAGTGTTTTAACTGTTTTTGTCAATTGTATTAACCATTCTGCTGTACTGCTTAGCATATTTGAAAAAACAAGTTACCCATGCTGGCAAACAGATATTACTTGTACGTAAAATTATGTATAATACATTCAACATGCCTTGCAAAGTTTTGTGTTCAATTTAGCTCAGAAAACACTTATTGGACCCTTTATTTGCCAAGACTTATGTGGTCTATAAATGCTACCTTTACATATCCTGGACAAGAGTATTTTTTAAATAATGCCAAAATTTTAAAATGATTTGGATTAAAAAGTCACAAAACACAAAAGCAGGAAGCTAGCTTGGACATAAGATATAGAAATGTTTTATTTTTTACATCTCAAGAATTTTGTATGGATGATCCTTTGGAAAGGAACAGTACTGACAAATTTCTAATCGCTTAACAACATTTTTGTGTGTGTATGTATGTGGTACTGGGGATTGAACTCAGTGGTGCTTTACTCCTAAGCTACATCCCCAACCCTTTTTATATTTTTATTTTGAGACAAGTTCTCACTAAGTTACCCAGGTTAGCCATGAACCTGTGAGCCTCCTGCCTCAGACTCCTGAGGAGCTAGGATTACAGGTTCGCAAAACCATGCCTAGCTCCTTAAAAATTTTTTTTAAAAAACCTGCACCAAACTCTGTGACAGCCAGAGCTCCAGCTGGTCTAACCTCCAGATGGCCTCCAGCTCCATGTCAGAGCCTCACAGGAGACTAAGCTTCCAGTTTCAATATGACCAGGTGGTCCTGTCCTTCTTACCTCTAACTTTAGCATAAGTATTTGCCTATGAAAGATAAGCCATATGGCAGCAAGCGCTTCTAGTGCTCTAACCAGGAATAATTAAGTTAAAGTTCCTCAAGTCACTTACATAACATGATACGACTCACTGTCCAATAAGTTAATTAACACATCTTTGAAAAATCCAGTGTGAAAATCATGTCAGATAATTTGGAAAAATCATCTACTATGTATGATGCATCCTCTCAAAATACTTGGTTTTCTCAGATATACTACTAGAACATAGACATAGACATTAGAGTTTTCCCGCCAAGAATTTGCTTACTTCAATAATGATGCCATTCTGCAACAATATTTTTTATTCCTTCTTATTTGCATCTGGTTTACAAAGCAGACTCCCCAAATTAGTTTTATGATTTTAGAGATACATTTTAGAGACAGTTAAAAAAAGGTTAATAATATAATCAGCAGAACATAGAAGAAAGAGTAAATCACTTTGGGATCCAACAGAACCAGATTGGAATCCATTTCTGGTTATGTGAACCTGCCATTTGCTTCTTGAACTTGGTCAGCTACGATATGGAAAGAAGAAACCCATTTTATAAGGATGCTGACATAAATACATTTCCTGTTATGAAAGCTCCATGAATCCTAGCTCCCTTCCCTGTACACACTGCATATTCCTTATTTATAAAATTTGGTTCCCATTTGTTTGTTTGTTTTGAAGTGCTGGGGACTGAACCCAGTTCCTCACACATACTAGCCAAGTGCTCTATCACTGGGCTACATTTCACCCAAAGTCTCAGTAGATATGGTTAACCTGATTTTTTTTTTTTTTTTTTTTTGTGGTAGGGACAGGGAGGGTTCCCAGTTAATTTGAACTCTTCCTAAAAGTTTTCCTTGACACAATACAATTACAACCTGATACAATCAAGCTGGAATTAAATCTCAGATTTCTTTTTTTTTTTTCCTCTTTTGGTACTGGGGATTGAGCCCAGGGGTTACGTCCCCAGTTCTTTTCATTTTTTAGTTTGAGACAAGATCTTGCTAAGTTGCTTAGGGCTGCGCCAAAGTTGCTGAGGCTGACCTTAAACTTGAGATCTTCCTGTCCCAGCCTTTTAAGTCACTGGAATTACAGTTGTGTGCCACCACACTCAGACTGAAGACACGGATGCTTCAGGGGTCTGTTCTGAAGGAGGTAACACTTATTTGTCTGCATAAATTGTGCTATACTTGTTCAATTCATAGTTGCTTTACCTTTTAGTCTCCCCAGTTTGTTGCAAAATAATCATAAGAATGTGACTTAGGCTATGAAACTAAATAGTAACAGAAAAGCAAAGAATATAATAGGGGAAAATAAGTGCATTATACATAATTAGGAAAGACAAAATACATAAGGATAACCTCAATACTGAAGGTTGATATAAGGTTTCCTTATCTCAATATGTCTATTTTCTATAGGTACCTTGAAACTGAAATAAAGATCAAGAAGTTGGCCAAATAATAATGATACAGATCAAACAAATGGCCCCTTTTACAGACCCTCTACCCCTGTTATAAACATTTTGGGTACTAAATACAGGAGCTTATTACAAATGGAAAAAATAGTCTGGAAAGCCAATTTTTCCCCCAAAGAGAGTAACCAAATTATCTCTGGCAGCAAGATAAAGTGCTATAACTGCTCCTTGATAGAAGGCACTATTTTCCTAGTATAAAATTAGTAATAGTTGTATGATAAAAATTTAGTTCCATTTTCCTCCTGTCCCACCCCTTTTTTCTTATACTGGGGTTTGAACCCAGGGATACTCTCCAAGCTACATCTCCAATTCCTTTTTATTTTGTGAGAGGATCTCACCAAGTTGCTGAGGCCGGCCTCAAACTTCCAATCCTCCTGCCTCAGTCTCCCAAGCCGCTGGGATTACAGATATGTGGCACTGTGCAAGGTTACTACTGACCTTTAAAAATTGTTTATCTCATTTAAACACACATCTTACTGGACTGTTTAGAAAATAAAGAAATACAAGTAAAGCATTTTTAATTCTTCAAGAGAAAACTACTACATGAGTCCAGAATTCTTTCTTTCTTTCTTTTGCAGTGCTGGGTATTGAAGCCATGGTCTCACGAACACCAGGCAAACACTACCACTGAGATACATCTTCAGCCTAGTAATTTCTTTCATGCTGGGTTCTGTAAAACATTCTTCCATTTGTGGAGCAAAATAACTTTTATGAAGAAAATCAGTTTTAAAAAAAACTTTTTTCTGATAAAATTCAAATAATTTAGCACAGAATGGTGCACGTTTAAATCTTTGCCTGAGAGCCTTACCTCCCTCAGGCTTTGTTTTATGACACTAACTGGGAACTTGAGAATAATCAAGGACACTGGAGAAGCCCGAGTTTATGATTTGTTCCAGCTGATGAAACTGCAAGAGTTCACTGAAAACAGACTGTTCTCACAGAGCAACCCAGTCCAGGAAGACGCGATCCAGGTGGCCAAGGCTCACCCAACACTATGGACCTTGGCCATTTATTGCCCTTGACTCTTCAGAGCCCCAGAGAGGGGGCAGAGTCTCTCTTAGCCCTGGAAGGGGGCAGTGACATCCCACATCAGAAAGCCTCTCAAGATATAACAACTTGTAAAGCAACTCACACATGAATACATGCATGTTCTCAAAACCATGCCTGATGCAAGAACTCTAGGAAGGCAGAGAGCAAGTATCAAAAATTCTCCCAAGCCCTGGACCTTTGAGACATGGCTGCTCTGAGTGCATTTCTGTTACTGCAATCTTATCCACAGGTCCTCCAGACTACTTTGTCACTCACAGTGTGTGACCTGCTGCTGTAATGTCACCATGCACTTCAGATGTAAAGAAAAAACTGCTTTGACTTCTCACTCTTCTTTTTCTAACCCTGGATCACCCTGCCCCAAGGTATATATGAGTTCCAAAGTCCCTTTCATTTTAAAACATATTACATTTTGTTTCACATGTCAAATATTAGAAGCTTGGATCATGTAGAATACTGAAAATGGCTCCAAATTCTCTATGCTGTTGGAGGTCAACATAGTTGCTGCCCTGGGGAGGCAGTGGCCAAGAGGTGGGCATTCCTGACCCCACAAAAGATCTCTTTGAGATTCTGATGATGTCACTTTTTCTTTTTGAACACTGCTAAGTTTAGTTTGTGCAAATGTATCAAGTTGCACTCTGTGTGATCTGTGTCTTTTCTGTATGGCAATAAAAAGTTGCATAAAAATATTTGGGACTATAAATAAATGTGCTTTGTAAGGTTAGGAAACTGAAGGAGAATGCTGTTTTGACAATAATAATGTTAGGAGACAAAATTTCCTGTTTATTCACGTTTACATTTCTTTTGACTTTATTAAGTTCAAAGTTAAAGAGCAGTTGTTGTTTTTCT